GCGGTGGCGGCGGCTGTGCGCAGCCCGGGCCTGGACGTGCGGCCGGTGGCGCTGGTGCTCAACGGCTCGGACCCACGCAGCCTCGTGCTGCAGCTCTGCGACCTGCTGTCGGGGCTGCGCGTGCACGGCGTCGTCTTCGAGGATGACTCGCGCGCGCCCGCCGTCGCGCCCATCCTCGACTTCCTGTCGGCCCAGACCTCGCTACCCATCGTGGCCGTGCACGGCGGCGCCGCGCTCGTGCTCACGCCCAAGGTGCGCGGGGGCGTGGCTCCGAGGGGCGTGGTTGTGGGCGGGCCCGTTCATGGGTCAGCTTCTGAGACCTAGGTAGGGCCTAGGTGAGAGGTGGGGCTGGCTTGAGTAGTGAGGCGGTCACCTAGCAGGGTTGGAGGGTGGCGGGCGAGGACCAGAGAATGGGGAGGACGTAGGCCCTATCACTGAGGCATGGAAGGGAGGTGTGGGATTCGGGATTGGCGCGGGGTCAGTTGGATGGGAATGGGGGTCAGAAACGGGGGAAGACGGCCCAGGAAGCCAGGCACTAGGTACTGGAGCAGGCCTGGCCAACTGAGCAGTCTAGAGGTCTGCTGAAGAAGGTAGGGCCATCCAGCGAACAGAGTCTGAGAAGGGGTGAATCAGACCTGGAAGAAGAGAGATTTCAGGGGAACCCAGCCAAAGAAGGGCCGGGGCCTCTATGTGATGAAAGGGCCATTCTGGGCGCCGAGGCTTGAGAAGGGGGTCTGCCGAGCCGTGGGCGCGGAAAGTAGGAAGATGAAGGCCCACGTCGAGGAAAGCTCAGTCAATGAGAGATCAGCACTATGCGCCTGTACTGCAGAGAGCAGCGAGCCTGGACCTGGCGTGGCCTGCAGAGGTTGCCTCCTAAAGGCACAGGGGAGGCCAGCTGTGGTGGACTTGTAGTAGCCAAGTGTCACAGAGCAAGCCTGGGTTTGGGGACTGCGGGGCATGGCCAAGACACCGGGCTTGAGAAACCATGTGGCCTATTAGGGGTGGAGCCAGTGGAAATGGAAGGTGTGATTCACTGGCGGAGGAACCCACCTGAATGGGCGGAACCCCAACGGGCCAATTTCTTGCTGTGAGAACAGTAGCTTTGTGACTGGGTTATCATTGCATGCTGGGACTCGTAGTTCTGTCCAAAGCCTTCTGGGAAGGACTTCTTGTCCAGCCTTCTCATTCTCCTTGGCATGATGTTGTCCAGAGATTTGTAGGCAGCACTGTAAACCTAGGAGGTGAACATGCTGTTTCCACCTGTGTAGAATAACCAGAACTGCTTTGTTCTGCCAATTGCAGCTGCTATAGTCTCTCCATTTCACTGTCTGCTGGACACTATGGTCCACTCAGCATACAATCCATTGCCTTCAGGAAACTGTAGTCCCCTTACTATTCCTAGATTTAAAAAGTGGTCCTCACAGCTTGATCTGCATGCCACTGACTGCAAGACATATTGTCCCCACATACACTTTTGCCTGCTGGAGAACAAGGTGCCCACTTCCCACTGCACTTTGGGAGACCCTGTGTCCTCTACATGTATAGCCCCAGCACATGCCTAATGTTACAGAATCCACTTGCTGTCTGCACTGCATCACAAGAAGACTGGCTGAGGGTTGATTTTGTGCCAGGGCCACTTTAGGTTCTGGGGAACAAACTGAGAAGTGGGGGAACAAGTCCCTGCTTTATGGAGCTTGAATTCTAATAAAGGAAAGAGATAAGCCATAGACATTAAACCTGTGGAGGAAACTGACAGGATGCTGTAATGACTGAGGCGGGGGCTTCAGCAGAAGGCAGGAGAGGGTTGGCTGGACCTCAGGAGCAGGAGGGGTAAACCAGGCACACAGAAGGCATCCTTGGGAGGGGTGACAGCTAAGGGTGAGAGGTCTCAAAGCCAGGAGGAGCAGGAGGAGGTGCAGCTGAAGCCAAGTGGGTGCTGAGAGTGGCAGTAGATCTAAGGTCTAAGCACAGTTCATGCAGGGGCTTCTGGGCCACTGAGAGGACTTGGCTTTGATTCTAAAGAAGAACCATTGGAAAGCTCTCAACTGAGAAGGGATGTGATCCAATTAATATTTTTAAATGATCACTGAAGCTGCTGTTTGGAGAACAGACTGGAAGATGAAAGAATGGAGGCAGAGATGGGTGGGAAAGCTGTAAGAGTCCGGGCAAGAGGGAAAGCATGGTTGTTGAGAGTTGTGATGGTGTTACGTGGTGGACAACTGGATTATGTTGGAATGTAGCACTGAAACTTGGAAGAGACCTGAGTATTTGGACACGAATGAAAGGAAAGGGATCTGAAAAAGCAGCAGAAGGAAGACAGGGAACAAGTCTAAGACAGGTAGGGGAGTTCAAGAATTGTATTTTGTTGTGCATGGTATCATATACCTATAATCTGTAATCCTAGCTACTTGGAAGACTGAGGCAGGAGGAACAAAAGTTTGAGGCTACCTTGAACAAGTTAGCAAGATCTTGTCTCAGAATCACAAATAAAAAGGCCTGAGGATTTAGTTCAACATTAGAGCCACTCTGAGCTTGATTCTCAACACTACCTCTCCCCCAAAATCTGTTCTTGACATGCTAATGTTGAGATAGTCTTGAAAATCCAAGTGGCGATGTTGACTAGCAGGGGTATAAGTTTGTCTGGAGCTCATGGTTGTGACCAGGAATAGGAGCCACCAGGATAAGCTGTTACATCCAGTGGGACTTTCTGTGATGGTGGAGATGTCCTACTGCATACCTGCTGTCTGCTCTGTCTAGGAAGACAGCCACAAACTACATGTGGTTGTCAAGCTCTTTGTGTGTGGTTAGCAGGGCTAGAGAACTAATTTTTCAGTTTTACTTAATTTTAATGAATTTAAGTTTGAATAGATACATTTGGCTATCATATTGGACAGTGTGTGGAGAGACAGTATTTAAGCCTGTGGGCCTGGATGACCTAACCAAAGGACAGAGAAGCTGAGGGGAAGGGGGGATGCTACATTTAGAACATCTCAGCATTCTGCCTGAGAAAGAGAGACCAGTAAAGGAGACAGAGAAGGAGGGAATGAGGAGATACCACAAAAATCAAAGGGAAAAGTCCACTCCTCCTGGAGCTAGGGTACCTGCTCTGCATCCTGGGAATGTAGTCTCACTTACCACAAAGAAACAGTCCCTCTCAGTGCATGCTGGGAGTTGTAGTTCCCTCAATGGCTTCTGGATTGTATTAATGACAGTGATGTTAGCTGCAGCTCAACCCAATACTGTAGGTTCTTTCTCATTCATATACAATCCAAACAGGTGGTTGTGATTGGAGCTGGCTCTCTTCAACATGGTGACTCAGAGAGTCAGGCTCCCTTCCTCGTGTAGCTTCTGGAATCCTGTAGAATTTTGAGTGCTCTTCTATGGCCTTTGTGTCTGTGGTTAGACCAGGAGGAGTGTTAGGTTCATGTGGGAGTCTTCTTATTGATAATTCTTTTTTTTTTTTTTTTTTTTTTTTTTGCACCTGGAGTTGAACTCATGACTTTGTATTTGCCAGCAAGGCGCTTGGGCCACTGAACTATATTCCTAGCCCTTTCTTTTTTTTTTTGCGGAACCGGGGATTGAACTCAGATCCTTGAGGTTGCCAGTCAAGCGCTTATTCTACTGAGCCATTTCCCCGGCCCTCTTTCTTTCTTTCTTGAGACAGGGTCTTACTATGTAGTTGAGGTTGGCCTTGAATTTGCAGAGATCTTTCTGACTCAACCTCCCGACTGGTGGGATTACAAGCCTGAACCACCACACCTGGCTTCATGTGGAAAAGTTCTAAGCAGTGGGCCCCAAAGAACTCAGTCATGTGACCAAACCTAAGCTCATCTAGCCTGTGCTGGGGAGGGAAGGAGATGGGTTTGGTGAACAGCTAGCCAGTCAGCCATGCTGAGAGCAGGGCCTGGCCTTTGCCACCGGAGCTGTGCTGCTCAGAAGAGTCCAAAGCTGGTGTATGAGGTCCTCCATCAGGAGGCTGAGGACCCCCTTGTACCCACAGGAGAAGGGCTCCACCTTCCTGCAGCTGGGCTCCTCCACCGAGCAGCAGCTCCAGGTCATCTTCGAGGTGCTGGAGGAGTACGACTGGACGTCCTTTGTGGCGGTGACCACGCGTGCCCCCGGCCACCGCGCCTTCCTGTCCTACATCGAGGTGCTGACCGATGGCAGCCTGGTGGGCTGGGAGCACCGCGGGGCGCTGACACTGGACCCGGGCGCGGGCGAGGCCGTGCTGGGCGCGCAGCTCCGCAGCGTCAGCGCACAGATCCGCCTGCTCTTCTGCGCGCGCGAGGAGGCCGAGCCCGTGTTCCGGGCCGCCGAGGAGGCCGGCCTCACCGGGCCCGGCTACGTGTGGTTCATGGTGGGACCCCAGCTGGCCGGAGGCGGGGGCTCGGGGGCGCCAGGGGAGCCCCTGCTTCTGCCGGGAGGAGCCCCACTGCCCGCGGGGCTGTTTGCAGTTCGCTCTGCGGGCTGGCGTGACGACTTGGCCCGGCGTGTGGCAGCTGGGGTGGCTGTGGTGGCCAGAGGCGCCCAGGCCCTGCTGCGGGACTACGGCTTCCTGCCCGAGCTGGGTCACGACTGCCGCGCCCAGAACCGCACCCACCGCGGGGAGAGTCTGCACCGGTGAGCGCGCCTGGGGTAGGGACGTGGGGCGGCGGGAGCCCGCGCGCACCCTAAGCCCCATGCCCTGTCTGAATCTCGGGATACTTTCTGTAAAATGAGTGTATGAAGTGTGATGGGAAGAATATGTTGAATGTTTAATTTTTTTAAAAACTTTAGCCATGGGGTTGGTGAGATGACTCAGTGGTCTAAGGCACCTACTCAGAGCAAGCTCAACAAAGCACAGGGACCTCGGTTCAATCCCCCAGCACCACATGCCAGCCAGCCCCGCCCCCTGGTGGGCTGAGCTGGCCACACACACACACACACACACACACACACACACACACACATAAATAAAATTTTAAAAATAAATAAATAAAATAAAAAACTTTCGCCAGGCAGGATCGCCATGAGTTTGAGGCCAACTTGGGCTACATAGTGAGTTCAAGGCCAACTTGAACTGTGTAGTGAGATCTTTTTTTTTTCAGAACCAGGGATTGAACTCAGGCCCCTGCGCTTGCCAGGGAAGCACTTATTCTACTGAGCCATCTCCCTGGCCCCAAGATCTTATCTTGGAGAAAAAAATTAATACCATAAAAGGCAGGTTGTCATTAGTCCCCTTCAAAATGCTCTCCCTCGATTTGAATACACCAGTCCTGTCATTCTTGCTTCTTTCTGAAGCGATTCTGGAAATCCTCTTTCATGAATGTTGTTTACTACATGGTTGTAGCTGCCTGCGTGTCCTGAACTGATTCAAGATGTTTGCCTCTGGTCATTTATACTTGGAGGAACATTCTGAAGCCACAAAGTGTCAAGTGAGGACACTGTCATGGTCCTACAAACCTGCCATTCCCTTTGCATTTCCTAGTAGTGTCAAGAATGTTATGATAAGGGACCAGGGAGATGGCTCAGTGGAATAAGCGCTTCCCTGGCAGGTGCAAGGGCTGAGTTCAATCCCCAGTTCTGCCAAAAAAAAAAAAAAAAAAAAAAAAAAAAAATGTTAGGATAAATGTGTTTAAAGTGGAGAAAGGGGAAAGATTTTAAGGAGGATTAATGGCAAATGCTTTTACTGTGAAAAAAATTTTGGATTTCTTTTTTCTTTTCCTTTTTTTTTTTTTTTTTGAGGTACCAGGGATTGAATTGAACTCAGGATCCTGAGCTTGCCAGGCAGGCACTTATTCCACTGAGCTGTCTCCCCGGTCCAAAAATTTTGAATTTCAACATTCACCATATTTCTCAACCATCCCTTTTAACAAGGTGGTTCTTTTCTGGGACTAAATCAGGTAGTTTGGAAAGCACCTGATGCACTGTGAGGGTATTAGTACATTTTATGACTTAAGATGCATAATATTTCATGTTTTATTTTATTTTTGCCATAGGGTCCCACTGTGCCGTTCAGGCTGGCTGGCCTCAAACTCACAGTAATCCTCCTGCTCAGCCTTGCAAGTGCGTGCCACTATGCCTTGCAATATTTTTTTAAAGTCTTTGTTATTTTATGGTAGATTGTTTATCATGGGGAGGTACTGATATTTGAAATCAGGACAGGAACTGCGGTCCCTGAGCTGCGGTCCCTGTGCTGTGCTAAGCTTGTTCTAAGTAGGTGCTTTAGACCACTGAGCCATCTCACCAGCCCCAAGAGACAGGGTCTTGCTATGTAGTTCAGGCTAACCTCAAGCCCACTCTGTAGCCAAGGTGAGCTAAAGGGGCCCAGGCTGGCCTCAGCTTCCTGAGTACTGGGTTTATGGGCATATAACACAATCTGTATGTCGCCTGGAAACATTTTTATTTTATTTATTTATTTATTTATTTATTTATTTTTGTCTTTTTGAGACAGGGTCTTGCCATGCAGCTCAGGCTGGCCTTGAGGTCACTTTGTAGCCCAGGCTGGTCTTGAACTTGTAATGATCCTCTTGCCTCAGTCTCCTGAGTACTAGGATTGCAGGTGTGCACCCCCATGCCCAGCCTGGCTACATTTTATAATTAATAGCATTTTCGATTGGCTGCTAGTTAGATTGTACACTGAGCGTTAGTAACAGAAGGACCGGTTGATCCAGAGACTCCCAGAAGTAGCACTGAGATCCTCTGTCACATGACAACTCAGGAATGAGTGGTCTAGATCTCCAGGGTTCCAGAACCACCTACTTGTTGTTCTGGCATCTCCCCCTCTGTCAAACTGGGGTCTGGGCATGCTGAATAGGCCTAGATCATGAGAAGGGAGGACGAGGAAGTGGGGAGCAAGCAATTTCCTTTTTTTTTTTTTGCTTTTATTTATTTATTTTATTTTATTTTTTGGCAGAACTGGGGATTGAAATCAGGCCCTTGTGCTTGCCAGGGAAACACTTATTCCACTGAGCCATCTCCCCGGCCCCTTTTTTGCCTTTTTGAAACAGATCTTGCTATATAGTGCAGGCTGGCCTTGAACTCACTATACGGTCCAGACTGGACTTGATCTCGCAGCAATCCTCCTGCCTCAGCCTCCCAAGTGCTGAGATTACTGGTGTGTACCACCAGACCAGGCCAAACAATTTCCTTTTAAGGAAAGTGGAAAGGATGGGTCTCAAATCCTTTTGGCAAGAATGCAGTTACTCAGGGCTGCAGTAGGGGTTGTTTACAGCGACCTCCATTGTGATGGGCTGGTGCTACTACTGTACTGGTTGTTAGAGAAGTTAGAAGCCACCGCTTACAAGGCCTTGGATTAGCTGCAGGCAGGCTGGGAAATGTCGACCTTTGCTTGATGCCAAGGTGCTCGGTTTACAGAGTATGATTTTTTAGGGTAGGAAAACAGCATCTCAAGCATAAGAAGCTGTGAGTGTGGGAAAATTGATAAATCTAGTGATAGAAAGGTGGGAGGAGAGGCCATTAATGCTGAAATGAGTTGAGTTTGGGAGGAGGTGATGGGTGGACAAGAAGACCTAGGGGAGGAAAACTGAGAACTGTTAAGAGATCGGGCTCCCACAAAACCCGCCAGAAACTAGGGCTCATGCTGGGTGCTGGGAACAGAGAGATGAATCAGACCACGGGCTTCTTTAAAACACGCAGGGTCCCAGAGAGGTGTCAGCGGAGATGGGCATAATGACTGCGCAGTGTGCCGCTTGCAGTAATGGAGGCAGTGCTGGCCTTGCAGGAGCAGGGGGAGGGTTCTGTGGAAGCCCGAATGTTCTGGTTGCAAGGAACCGAGTCTCATCTCAGGCTCCTCAGGGAAAAGGGCCTTATTGGAAAGATAAACATGCTCAGAAACACAGAGATCAGGAATGGAAGCTAAGCCTAGGGCCAGCCACTTTCATCTCCCTCTGATCTGTCTTTTTTACTTTTCTCTTTCTCTCTTCTCTCAGGCTTGCCTCCCCTGGGGCTGTTCAATTCTTTATCTAGAATCTCTGTTCCCTAAAACTTCACCCTTTCCTGGCTACCACACATCCTTCCAATCTCAGAATAAAATGTCATCCCAAGAGAGGACACTGAGGCAAGGCATGGTGGCACATGCCTGCAATCCCAGCACTTGGGAAGCTGAGGCGGGAGGATTGCTGTGAGTTTGAGGCCAGCCTGAAGTACATAGTGAGACCTTGTCCGAGACACAGAGAGAGGGAGATGGGGGGGGGGAGAGAAAGAGAGAGAGAGAGAGAGAGAGAGAGAGAGAGAGCTGATTGGTCCCAGTCTGCCTTCTAAAAGCAGGACACATAAGTCAGGGCTCAGCAGCTTAGGTGGTCAGAGAGGTCTCCAAGAGGGGGGAAATCCTCACTTGGGACCTGAGCATGACCCTCCCCCAGTGAATGCATGCGTTCACCCATTCACGAAAATGCCTCTTATTTACTGGGAATGTGCTGTGTGCGGAGCACCAGTGGGGGCCCAAAGGATCTGCTCTCACAGAGCTCACGGTCTAATGGGGAGAGAAGCAGCAAACAAATAAGAAAGAAAATGTCAGAAGGTGTTAAAGTCTAAGATGAAAACAACATGAATGAATGGGACAAGAAGGGCCTCGGGGCTGGGCTAGTGGGGTGGCCAACAAAGGCCACCGTGAGTAAGTGAAAGTCAGAGGTTAAAAAATGGATATGAAGGGCATGGTGGTGGCGCACACCCATGACCTTTGTCACACGCTCGGGCTAGCCTATGATACATAGTAAGACTCTGTCTCAAAAAACAAACAAAATAATGGAGAAAAGAACCAAGCACTGGGCCAGCCAAATAGCTCGGCAGATTAAAGCACCTGCAAGCAGGCGCAGGGGCTGGGGGTTCCCTCCCCGGCCTGCTGTGCCAGCCCCACCCCTGGGGCACACTGAGATAGCAACTGAGACTGGGTGTGGTGGTGCATGCCTGTAATCCCAGCTCTTGGGAGGCTGTAAACAGGCGGATCACTATGAGTCTGATCTAGTAGTGAGACCCTGAATGCGCTGTAGACCTTTCCCTAAAATACAAAAAAAAAAAAAAAGAGAGAGAACCAAGCACTGAAAGATCCAAGTGAAGGCAGAGGTACCAGCAGGAGTAAAGGTTCTGGGGTTGGAACGCTCTGTTTGGGAGCCTGAAACAGAGAGGTCAGGGAGTTCACCAGAAATGGCTAGCATTCCCCACAGGCGGCGAACCACATGGGCAAAGACCCAGTGTGACAGCTGGGTACAGTTCAGGCCACCATAGCTCAGAACAGGCAAGAGCAGCAGCATTAGGGGTGGCAGTGATGAAGCCATGGAGGCGTACATGGCCATGCCCCTGCCGCCAGCACCAGGCTGGGGAGCTTGGAGTCTGTGCCAAGGCCCTGGAGAGCCTTGGGCCCCCATGAGCAGGGGAGGGATGGAGCACCAGGGACTGTGGGATTCAGACAGCCGCAGACAGGAGGCAGGGGTGAGGCCTGGGGACTGTGTGGAAAACGGGAGGGCTGGGGCGATGAAAGGTCAGCCCCGTGACTGGGTGGGCAATGTGACACCAAAGGCAGAGCCTCCCCCAGGTGGCCTCTGCAGCAGAAGGGACCTTGAGTAAATGCCTAGAGATTAAAAAAAGTTGGCATGTTCAGAGGACACTGCATTCAGTGTTGATTCCATCAAAAAGGGTCTCCTGAGCCTAGTATGGTAACGCATGCCTATAATCCCAGCACTCAGGAGGCTGAGACGGGAGGGTTGTAAGTACAGGGCCAGCCAGGGCTACACAGACCCTGTCTCAAACAAGCAAAGTCAGGCATGGTGGTCCTCAGAGTATAATACCACACTATGGAAGACTGAGGCAGGAGGATCCTTGTGAGTTCATTCAAGACCACCCTGGGCTACAAAGTGAGCTCAAGGCCAGCCTGAACTTCATAGTGAGACCCTGTGCTTGAAAGGCAGGTAGAGCCAGAGCATGCAGGGGCTCCTGGTCCTCAGAACCAAGCTAAGGGCATGGAGCAGCCAAGGGAGGGTGTGTTTCTGAGATTTTGGGGATAAAGGAGCAAAGATTCTATTTGATAGCAAGGACCTGGCAAAGCAAAGAGGGTGTGCCTGAGCCACGCCTCCTCATGGCCCCTGCCTGTCTCCCGGGCAGGTACTTCATGAACATCACCTGGGATAGTCGGGACTACTCCTTCAATGAGGATGGCTTCCTGGTGAACCCCTCATTGGTGGTCATTTCCCTTACCAGAGACAGGACCTGGGAAGTGGTGAGTCATGAAGCCCAGACCCCAGGAACGGGAAAGGGCTGGGCTCCCGGTCCTGGCAGAAGGCTCCAGGTCCTGCACTGTGGTGGTGTGGGGCTGGAACCCCGGGCCTGAGGGAGGAGGCTGGGCCTGGACCCCCAGGTCTGAGGGAGGTGGGGGTACAGGCCTGCATCCCTGAGTCTGAGGGAGGAGGCCGAGCCTGGATCCCTGGGTCCTGAGGAGGCACCAAACTGAAGGCCCAGGCTCCTGCACTGGAGGAGAGGAGCCGCTGCTTCCTGGAGGGAGACAAGGCGCTTACTCCTAGGTCTGAAGGAGAGGCGCAGGGAGGCCGGACTTTCTGGGCAGTGGAAAGGAGGTTTGCCCAGCCCAGGTTCCCTTTCCATTACCCAGAAAGTCCCTCCGGAAGGCTGACTGTCCTTCCCTTTTTCCCAGGTGGGCAGCTGGGAGCAGCAGACTCTCCGCCTCAAGTACCCACTGTGGTCCCGCTATGGCCGCTTCCTGCAGCCCGTGGATGACACGCAGCATCTCACGGTGGCCACGCTGGAGGAGAGACCCTTTGTCATCGTGGAGCCCGCTGACCCCATCAGCGGCACCTGCATCCGAGACTCGGTCCCCTGCCGTACCCAGCTGAACCGAACCCACAGGTGACAGCCCAGGGCCCAGGAGTTGCAGCTTCAAAAACGCTCCTCCTGTGAAACAAAATCTCGGCCCCAGCCCACAAGGCCCTCTGTCTTGGTGATCTAGGGCTGCCTCAGTTTCCCCAGGAGGTGTTTACTATAGTTTTAGCCTCTGTTGTCCCTTCCTCCATACCCTCACATCATGGGGGAGCCTAAGGGGAGGGTCCCCAAGCTCCCCAAGCTCCCCAAGCCTGGTCGCTCCCCGCAGCCCTCCACCGGACGCCCCCCGCCCAGAAAAGCGGTGCTGTAAAGGCTTCTGCATCGACATTCTGAAGAGATTGGCGCACACCATCGGCTTCAGCTACGACCTCTACCTGGTCACAAATGGCAAACACGGGAAGAAAATCGATGGTGTCTGGAACGGCATGATTGGGGAGGTGAGGGGGGAGCGGGCGAGCCCCCCCCCCGTCTGGGGGCGGAGCTGAGTGTGGAGGGGCGTGGCCAATAGGACTGCGTCATTGAGAAGGCGGGGCCAAGAGTAAGATAAGCCTGGTTGCGGCAGGGTTAATCGTTTTAGGGAGCACCAGAAAGATAGTGGGCCTGTGGGGGCTGGGCTGTGGCAGGGCCTGTGCGCTGGGCGGGGCAAGGAGGTAGCCCACCCCAGGAGATGGCTCTTGAGCCTGGCTCCTTGTCTCACCTCCCCCCAGGTGTTCTACCAGCGCGCAGATATGGCCATCGGCTCCCTCACCATCAACGAGGAGCGGTCTGAGATCGTGGATTTCTCTGTTCCCTTCGTGGAGACGGGCATCAGTGTCATGGTGGCCCGCAGCAATGGCACCGTGTCCCCATCAGCCTTCCTGGGTGAGCTGGGGCCGAGGGACAGAGAGCCAGACTTCAGCAAAGATGGATCAACAGTCTCTTGCCGTGTGGGGTCAGAAACCCGGGTTCTGAAACGGCATGCGGGTTCGTGCCTGTAATCCCAGCACACCCAGAGGCTGAGGCAGGAGGGGCTCTGCAAGCTCAAGGCCAGCCTGGATTACATACTGAGACCCTGTGTGACCCGGGTAAAGTGACATCATTTCTTCTTTTTCTTTTTTTTGTTTTGTTTTGTTTTGTGGAACCGGGGATTGAACTCAGGCCCTTGCGCTTGCCAGGGAAGCGCTTATTCCACTGAGCCATCTCCCCGGCCCCAGTGACATCATTTCTGAGCCTACATTTCCCCTTCTCTAAAATGGGAGAAATAATTCCCCCTACCACAAGGAATGTTATCATGAATTTAAATAAGGCTAAACTCAGGAGCCTTCTCTTGGCGTACCTTGTCCCAACCCTGCTTTTCTTAAACAGTGACAGCCTGTTTCCTTAAAGTGAGGCTTCCAAATTGTGTATGCTTCAGGCCTCACAAAACCCATCCTCCCCTGTGTCAGAGTGTGAGAGGAAGAGGCACTATTAGCTCGGCTCCAGCATATGATAAACACTGAAGTCGCCGTGCGTGGCACTGAGCGCTGCTACATGCCAGGCTCTGGGGCTGCTGGCAAGGACCCAGTGCTGAGCGAAGCAGACAGATCCCTGCCCTCTAGGAGCCCCGAGGCCCCTGGGAAGATAGAAAGGGAACCTAAACAGGTACACAGGCCATTCCGCTGGTGATAGATGTCATGAGAAAGGACTCCAGGGGAAGAGATGGAGAGGGAGGGAGGGGCGAGTGGGGCAGAAGGCTGAGAGCCAAGGGGCAGATCTTACTGGGCCTCGGGTGCTCCCAGAAGAAGTTTGGGTTTCGCTCTTACTGCAGTGGCAAGGGTGATAACTCTGACAGACAGCATGGGGATGTAAGGTCCCATGTCAGCTACTGTGGGAGCAGGGGGCCGGGGATGACTGAGGCTTCTCCAGGGTCTGAGCCAGAGAAATGATGTCACGTGCAGTAGGAAGGTGGGAACAGGAAGTACACAGATCCAGGCTGTGGGTGGCAGGCTGGTCCTGTGGGGCTGGTGGCGCTGCAGTGAGTTGGGTAGAAATCCTATCTCCTGAGCTAGGGAAGTGGGGAGAGGCATGCACAGGGCCCAGGGCAGTGGTCCACTCAGCGCCCGCTTGCTCTTTGAAGACAGAGCAAAGCTCCTGGAATTGGAGCTGGAAGAAGAGGTGCTCTCTTTGGTACTTTTGTTTTCCTTTGAGTACTGAGAATTGAACTCAGGACCCTGCACTAGCCAGGCAGGCGCTGTGCCGCTGAGCTATACAATCCCCACACGGCCCTGGTGCATTTTACTTTCTGTGCCTCAGCCTGTGTCTCTGGCGGCCTTTTCTTTGCACTGCACCCAGCACGGGACACTGAGAAGCACCATGCAAGGCCCCTTCCTCCAGACAGCGCATAGCAGGGCGATGACAGGGCAGGTGATAGGGCAGGAGCTCTGCCAAGGCACCCAGCAGAGGCTACAGTGACAGTCAGGACAGTGATCTTGCTGTGGCAGGGATGGTCCTGGCAGCGTGTGCTTACTTGTTCCCGGGAGGTGGAATCCCTGTGCTCTTGGAGGCAACGCACAGTTATGGAATATGAGGAGAGGATGTGAATGCGGGACAACTGTCTACAGCCCCTGGCAGGTGGCATCTCCAGCAGGGAAGTAGAGATGAGGCTGGGAGGGTGTGGCTCAGCTTGATAGCAGTTAGAGTGGCCCAGTGACCCTGATGTGGCCAGGAAGTTAGGGCAGGACAAGGCTGAGGGGTGGGGACTTTGTCCTGGGGGTACAGGTCACCTCTGAGTCATGGGGGTTGGGCTGGAGCTGAGACACTGGGAGCCAGATGTCCCCGCAAAGGAAGGCACGATGAGAATGGAGAGTCCAGCCCCAACCCAAAGGGGGGTGAGGTGGCAAAGGGCTGAGAGTGGCTGGGACTGGATGGGTGTGGAACTCCTCAGACAGGAGTCCCACAGCTGGCCTGAGGAATGGCCTGGAGGGTCAGGATGGAATCTGACCCCAGATAACATTTAGGAAACAGAAGAGATTAGGTGTGAAAACCACAGAAATGGGGCCAGATGTGATGATGTGGACTGTAATACCAGTCATCTGGAGGCTGAGGCAGTAGGATCCGAAGTCCAGCCTGGACTACAGGGAAAGATTGTCTCACAAACAAAGCAACAAATCAAAACACCATGGAAAGGGATGGGACTCTGAGACTGCCTCCCAGGCTTCCTTGTGGGCCACAGGGCTGTCCCCAAGACTGGGAACCAGGACAGGGTCATATCTGGCTGAGCTGCTTTCGCATGTCTTTGTGTTCCCTAGTCCTTTGCCTGGCTGAGCCATGACACTACCTCCCTTGTCTCTAGAGCCCTACAGCCCCGCCGTGTGGGTGATGATGTTTGTCATGTGCCTCACTGTCGTTGCCGTCACCGTTTTCATCTTCGAGTACCTCAGTCCCGTGGGCTACAACCGCAGCCTGGCCACGGGCAAGCGTGAGTTTCCTTCCCGGTCCACCCCACCGTGTAGCACCCTAACTGCACATGGAACTACATTTCCCTGCAGTCCTTGGGGCAGAGCCACAGCCTCAAGGGCCACTGGGAATTGTAGTTCCTTTTGCTCCCTCGAAGAGCAAAAGGGAGTTGGGGTCCATGTCCCGTCCTGAACCCCCGGCAGGCCCTGGCGGCTCAACATTCACCATTGGGAAATCCATCTGGCTGCTCTGGGCCCTGGTGTTCAATAACTCGGTGCCCGTGGAGAACCCCAGGGGAACCACCAGCAAAATCATGGTGCTGGTGTGGGCTTTCTTCGCCGTCATCTTCCTCGCCAGCTACACAGCCAACCTGGCCGCCTTCATGATCCAGGAGGAGTACGTGGACACCGTGTCTGGGCTTAGTGACCGCAAGGTGTGTGGAGGGGTAAGGTGGTGGCTGTGGCTGGAGCACTGAGTTAGGCATGGGTGATTCCTCAAGGTCTTTCTTAAAGAGGAATTCCACAGTGGTAGGCTGAAATGTTCTGGAAGAAAGCTGTGTTTCACGGTGAATTTTTAAAATTGGCTCTCCAACAGTATGAGGAGGTGGGCATTTATTTACTGGTATTGAGATCTAGACGCAGGACCTTTTTTAAAATTTTTAAATTCTGGGCCTGGGGAGATGGCTCAGTAGAGTAAGCGCTTTCCTGGCAAGCACAAGGGCCTGAGTTCAATCCTTTGTTCAGAAAAAAATAAATAAATAAATTTGGGGACAGGGTTTCACTAAGTTACTAAGTTGACCAGGCTGGGTTCAAACACACCATCTTCCTGCCTCAGTCTCCCAGACTGCTGGGTCTACAGGCATGTATAACCATGCTGGGCTCAAAGGATTAGTTTTTGAGACTTCTAATTCATCAAAAATTAGTTTTTTGTTTGTTTGTTTGTTTGGTTGGTTGGTTGGTTGGTTGGTTGGCTTTTTAAAAATGTATTTGCTACAGGGTCTTCAGGGTCTCACTATGTAGATCAGACTCATAGTGATTCTCCTGGTTTCAGCCTCCCAAGCGCTGGGATTACAGGCCTGCACCACCACGCCCAGTCTCAATCACCATCTCAGCACGCCCCGGGGGCGGGGCACACCAGGGATTGAACCCAAGTCCCTGCCTCTGCCTGAGCAGGTGCTCTAATCCACTGAGCTATCTGGTCAGCCCCAAAGACTAGTGTTTTAGTAAAATATAAGTGCAATGAATTAGAAAAGTAAAATAAAATTTAAAACCAAGACATACAAAAGCCAACCCCATATTTTTATTTACTGGATTCAGTGGATGTAAAACTGTCCTGTCCCATGGATCCAGATGCTAAATCTCTTGATTTCTGCACTTTTCTCATCGTGCTCACAATGTGTTCAAGGACCAGCAGAGACAGGACTGGTTGGCCAGAGGCAGGATCTGTTAGAGATGTGAAAAACCAACTCAGTGGGTTGCACTAAGCATTTTCCTAACAGAATGAAACTGAGAAGTATAGAAATAGATGGTGTGGACTATACCTTACATACAATGGAGGAGCACAATTGTACAAGACTTTTCGTAAACACACCTGACCCTAGGCCAGCACACACCATTCTGGCTACACCTATTGCTAAAATAGTCAACTACTGCGGAATAGATTGGTAAGCACCAGCTGCCTCCACCTCTGTTGCAATTCAGCAAGCTAAGGGTTAACGCCTGGCACACTGGAGCCCCAGGAGCTCCTGGCTTCTCCTGCCTAAGGCTAGGCCTCTGATGACCTGCCACAGGCCTTGCATGCTGGGCAGTAGAAGTAGACGCACCTTTAATTCCAGTCCCTAGGAGGTTGAGGCAGGATGATCATTGTTTGAGACCAGCCTGGGCTACATAGTGAGTTCAAGGCCAGCCTGAACAACATGGGTTTAGAATGGGGCATCAGATGGCTTGGGAGATAGCTCGGTAGAATAAACACTTGCCTGGCAAGCACAAGGTCCTGAGTTCAATCCCTGGTACCACACACACACATACACACACACACACACACACACACAAAAGAATGGGGTATCAGGGTCAGGGATGTCTCTTGGGGAGACACCTTAATAACTCTGCCTTCTGCCCCAGTTCCAGCGGCCCCAGGAACAGTACCCACCCCTGAAGTTTGGGACAGTGCCCAACGGGTCCACAGAGAAGAACATCCGCAGCAACTACCCCGACATGCACAGCTACATGGTGCGCTACAACCAGCCCCGCGTGGAGGAGGCGCTCACTCAGCTCAAGGCAGGGTCAGCGCAGACTCGGGCCGGGCACAGGAGGGAAGGGGAGGGGATGCTGGGGTCGCAGTGGTCAGCCCCAATGAATCAGCCGAGGGTGGCGGGCATAGAGATCTCAGGCATGTAGGGTCCTATGATGCTCCCAGGGTCCAGGAGATAGAGATTTGGGACTGCACTGCCAGGGCTCAAATACCAGCTCTGCCCCTTTTGTGACTTTGTCACTTTGTAGAAATGACTCCACTTCCCTGAACCTCTGCCTCCTCCTCTGTACTGTGGACATAATGCCCACTCTCCTGATCAGCAGGTCGGTATAAGAATGAAATGAGGGCTGGGGAGATAGCTCAGTAGAGTAAGCACTTGCCTGGTAAGTGCAAGATTCTGAGTTCAATCCCCAGTACCGCCCCCCCCCCAAAAAAAAGGGAATGAAATTAGTGGGCCAGAGAGATAGCTAAGCGGTCTAAAGTGCCTGCTTAGGCAAGCTTAGGCAAAGTGCACAGGGACCTTGGTTCAATCCCCAGCACCACATGCCACCTGGGTAGGCTGAGCCAGCCACACACAGAGAGAGAGAGAGAGAGAGAGAGAGAGAGAGAGAGAGAGAGAGAGAGAGAAATTAGATAAATGACAAAAGAAAATACTGGGAGTACATAGGTATTTGCTGCTATCAGCACTGGACCTCAACTCATTAGCATCCATCCTTGGGTTATATGTTTTCTTACATTGGTTTCCTCAATCTTATTGAATTCAGTCCCTACGGTACAGAGAGAGGGTAGAGGGTATGCAGAGGGTCTGGCGTGGGCTTGGCTTAATGAGCCACAGCAAGAAGGCTGGCGTAAAGGCCCTTGTGCCTTCCCAGCCTCCCCACAAGGCCCGCCCCCTGGCCCCGCCCACATAGCCAATCCTTCCTGGGTCCCTATCTCTGCATCCAACCTGGTCTTAACTGTCAACTGTAAGCAAAGGAACCTGGTGAATCTTGTCATTATGGGAGATGGGTGGGAGAGCACAAGGGTACAGGCGAGTCTCAGAGCCAACTGCAGAAAGCAAAGGTAGGCTTTATGGAAATGGGTTAACATCCGTGCAGTTAGCTTAGAAGAGCATCAGCTCTGGCCCAGCTACGTATCCTGCACTGGCTGGTGATAAATGAGACACCAAATATGGACGTTTCTCAGAGTGGTTAGAAGAGCAGAAGCAGACAGAGGTTCACCTTGTGCAGGAAGCCCAGAGCCGGCACGATAGCCCAGGGCCACCCCAGCGATCTGAGCTCTACCAAGCTCGCAGCCACAATCTTCATGCCCATTTTGGCGGCATCATGGTCACAAGAGGTCTGCTGCCCCTCTGTGGAACACATTCTAGTGGCACCCAAGGAAGGAGGCTGAAAGGATTCAGGGGTTTTGTTTCGTTTTGGTGGAACCGGGGATTGAACTCAGACCCTTGCATTTGACAAGGAAGTGCTTATTCTACTGAGCCATCTCCCTGGCCCCTGATTCAGGGTTTTCTGCTGAGAAGGGTTTGCCTCTTTATTGGGAAAAATAAGGCATTTGCAGGGATTTCTGGCTGTTTCTGGGCGCCGTTCAGTGACCACTCCTAGCTGCAGTGGGAGCTGCCAGGTGAGCCTCTTGTTTCCGCTTCCCCCCAAACCTTCTTGAGCTTGCCTTTTCCCTCACCCTCTCCCCGAAAGCACTATTTACACAGTGTGGTCACAGGCTTTTGTGAAATGAGGCTCGAGACAATGCGCTGCCAATCTTGGCAGGGGCTGGGGCAAAAGGACAGCGGAGCCTGGCGTGGGGGCACACCCCTGTCACTGCCATACTCGGGCAGCTGAGGCAGGAGGATCCCAAATTCAAGCTCAGTCTGAGTCAGCCAGCAATTTAGAATCTGTTTCAAAACAAAAATTCAGCATGCTCTGCCAGCCCCACCCCCTGGGCCCTCTGAGACAGTGATTGAAACTGGGCGTGGTGGCGCACCTGTAATCCTAGCACTTGGGAGAAGAAAAATAGCAGGATCACTATGAGTCCGATCTGTGTAGTGGGACCCTACAGACCCTGTATGTACTAAATATTTTTTTTTTTAAAAAAGGTAAAAATTAAAAAAGAGTTGGTGATGTAGTTCAGTGCAAAGGTGCTGGCTCAATCCCCAGCACTGACAGCGGAAGCCTGCAGGCTCATAACACCATATATGTTTAAATTTATAAGTTAAACTGCCAAACCATTCAATATACTGGGGCCCACCCTGCCTGCTTGGCAAATATATTGTATCTTCCTCCTTTGCTTTCTTTCTTGTATGTGGGAGGGCTGGGAATTGAAACAAGGGCCTTCCCACTGAGCTACATCCCCTGCCCTTCCTTATTTTGAGACAGAGTCTTGCTAAATCTAAATTGCCCTAGCTAAGCTCAGACTTGAGATTCACTCTGCTTCGGCCCCTCGGAACGCTGGGATTGCCGGTATGACCACCATGCCCTGCTCAGACATAGCTTCTTAGCAACCTGGAAGGCCACCAAGCTCCAGTTAAGAAGCCCTAGTACTCCTTCCTCTCAGGCTCCCACCAGAGCGGGCCTCCTTGTCCTTCTCCCAGGAGCCCACCCTTGCCTTTTCTGGCTTCTCGAGGCCGCCACACTCGTGGGTTGGCTCCTGGCCCGAAGCCATTCCGACTTCTCCCTCCACCAACACATCTCCTGTGACGGACTCTCTCACCCTCCTCTTCTGTGACTGCTTTGGGCCCACCCGGGTCACTGAAGAATGGCTCCTTGTGACCCTTCCCTTAGTCCATCTGCCAAGTGACTGCCACAGAAAGTGACACAGTCAGAGGCCTCAGCTATCTAGGACATGATGCCCAGGGGTTCCCAGACATAATCCCACAGGGAGAAGTTGATTCCCAGGGACTCTCTCTCTCTCTCTCTCTCTCTCTCTCTCTCTCTCTCTCTCTCTCGGAAGTCCTGAAAAAAAGTAGTCCTCAAGCAGATGGTACTGGGACATACCTGTAATCCTCGCACTGGGGAGGCTGAGGCAGGAAGACAGCACAAATTCCAGGCCAGCCTCAGCTATACACAAGACCCTGTCTCAGGAAACTAAAATGGGGGGGAGCAGAACGGCACCCCCTTGGCCACTGTCTAAGGTGGCGGTTATAGCACAGAACTGGGCTTTTTTTCTTTGTTTGTTTTGTTTTGTTTTACATTATGCATTCAGCCAGCCCTTCTTTGGTTGACAAGTATTTATTGGGTGCCTCGGATGCAGTAGGCTCCGTGCCAGACGCGGAGGTCCGGCTGTACTTGCAGCCTCCCCTGGAGTGGCGAGGAAGCAGAAATGTGCAGATGCTGGGGTCCTGCCTATCAAGTGTCCTGGCTCTGAAGCCTCTGGCCGCAGGGCTGTTCTGGCTGGGCAGCCTCCTTTCTCCCAGAAAACCGGTTTTTCTCCCTCTCCCCTTACAATTCTGGGTGTTATGGTGGCTTCCAAGGCCCAAGAGTTTGAACAGTATCCTGGGGACACTGAAGAGCAGTGATTTAGGGCCAGGGAGATAGCTCAGTAGAATAAGCGCTTGCCTGGCAAGCACAGGGTCCTGAGTTCAATCCCTGGTACCGCAAAAAAAAAAAAAAAAAAAAAGTAAAGAGACAGAGGATGTAGCTCAGTTGGAAGCCAGATAAGATGTTTTAGGGGCTCCTGAGACAGCTCAGAGGACTAAAACACCTGCTTAGGCAAGTGTAGGGACCATGCCAGCCACGCCCCCAGGATGCGCTGAGCAGGCCACAGAGCCCAGGCGTGGTGGTGCACACCTGTAATCCCAGCGCTGCAGAGGCTGAAAGCAGGAGGAGCACCACAAGTCCAGCTGTGTAGTGAGACCCTGCAACAAGCAAATATATTTGAAAAAAAAGGAGGGTCTGATGTGTATTTTATGTTCACTGTGCAATTCAATTTGGATTTTCTGTCTGCAGCCACATCCAGTCAAACTATATACACGTAGGACACTTTTTTTTCCTTTCTTTTCTGTTTTGGTCTTTTCGAGACAGGGTTTTGCCATGCAGTTTAGGCTGGCCTTGAACTCACTTTGAATCCCAGGCTGGTCTGGAACTCACTGCAATCCTCCTGCCTCACCCTCCTGAGTGCTGGGATTATAAACCTGCGCCCCCATGCCTGGCTAGAACTCTTTTTATATCTTTTGTTATTTTGCTTCCCCTCCTGGGACTCTCTTTTGCTCTCTGCCTCTCCCTCCCTTTCCACTCCCCCACATGTAAATGTTCTTCAGGGGTTCCTTGCACCTTGGGGCCTGGAAGACAATGACTCCAGCCCCCTCCTGAGAATTCCATAAATGCCTGAGTTTCTCAGGTTCACCCTGGCTTCAAATTCCTCTTTACTGATTTAATTCACTTTCTGAACCCCCCCTTTCTCTGATTTAATTCACTTTCTGACCCCCCCCCCTCGTATTTAGTACAGGGTCTGTTGGGTCTCACTACACAGATCAGATTCATAGTGATCCTCCTGTTTTCAGCCTCCCAAATACTGGGATTACAGGCAAGTGCCACCATGCCCAGTCTCAGTCGCTGTCTCAGTACGCTCAGGGTCAGGGCCTGCAAGGCACGCCAGGGATCATACCCTGATCCCTGCATCTGCCTAAGCAGGTGCTTTAACCAGCTGAGCTATCTGGCTGGCCCTGGACCACCTCACTGGCCTGAGTGTGTCTTCCCTGGCAGAGTTCATAATATTAGTCAGAATTGGAACCCACAAAATCCCCACTCTGAGCAGAGCATGGTGGTACATACTTTTAATCCCAGCAGTGAGGAGGCTGAGGCAGGAGCATTGCCTTGAGTTTGAGGCCAGACTAGGCTATACCCTGTTTCAAAAAACAATAAATAAAAACTAGAAGTGAAGTTAATTTTCATCTGTATCTCACTTAACCCAACACATCTACAGTATTCCTTCGACATGTTGTGGTAGTCGGTATGCAGCCGTGACCCTTCTCTTCCGATTCTCCCATGAGCAGTCTGCGGCCTACGATGCCCAGAGCAAAGCTGTGCCCCAAGCATC